TCAATAGGTGAGTGGATAAATAAACTGGTACATCCAGACAATAAAGTATTTGCTAAAAACAAAACAAAACGAAACAAAAAAAAGTAGCCATGAAAAGATATGGGAGAACCTTAAATGCATATTACTAAGTGAAAGAAGCCAATCTCAAAAGCCAAGCTACATACTGTATGATTCCAACTCATTGACAGTCTGGAAAAGGCAAAACTATAGAGGTAACTGAAAGATCAGTGATTACTAGGTGTTTGGGGGTGTGAAGAGATCAGTAGGTGAAGCACAGGGGATTTTTAGGACTGTGAAATACTCTATCTGATACCATAATAATGGATAAATTTGTCCAAACTCAGAGGATCACAACACCAAGGGTGAACCACATGTAAACTGTGGACTTTGGGTACTAATGGTGCGTCAAGAAGCTCATCAGTTATAACAAATGTTCTATCTGGTGGGAGGTGTTGATAGTGGGAGGAGCTATGCATTTGCAGGTGCAGGAGTTATATAGGAAATCTCTGTGCCTTTCCATCAATTTTCCTGTGAACGTAAACTGCTCTAAAAGAAAAGTCTTAATAAAATAATAGATAGTCTATTTGTTAAGCCTCCTAACACATTATTTATTAAGTAACTTTATGCCCAGAGAAGGTAAATAATTGTCCCAAGTTAAGAATGATCTTCATAGTGATTTGTTCTAATTTATTTAGCAAGTATTTATATTATGCTTACTATGTGAATGACTATTCTAAGTGCTCTGCAATAATAGCCCTGTAAGTCCTCATAATAATATCATGAAGATGATTCTATTTTAAAAAATATATATCTTATTGATTTTTTACAGAGAGGACGGGAGAGGGAGAGAGTTAGAAACATCAACAAAAGAGAAACAAAGGTACATGCTCTTGGCCGGAATAGAACCTGGGACCCCTTAGTCCCCAGGTCAGCGCTCTATCCACTGCGCCAAACCGGTTAGGGAAAGAGGATTCTATTTTTATTCCCATTTTACAGACAGGAACTGAGACATGGGAGGATTAAGCAGCACTGGCCTGTGCTCAAAGAGCCAGTAAGTGGCAAAACTGGAGTTTGGATTGAGGCAGTCTAGCTCCAGAGATTATGTGTTAACCACTGTGTGTGTGGCCTCTGTTATTCAAAGAAAACTTTGAAAAGCAGTTTTGAGTTAAAGTCTTCTCCATTGTTTTTGGCGTTAAAGTTGTTGCATAACGGTAAATGCAAATGGACAGTACTGTTATGACTGGCCACTAGGGGGCATTAGAACTCTTGCAAACCTGCCAAATGACTAGTATTTTTTTTTCTTCTTAGTTTTATTTTTCCCCCCAACACCATTTATTCTACCTATACCTCTTCCACCTCCACCCTCCGCCCCCCACAATCACCAGGTCCATAAGTTCTTTCCCTCTTTTCATTTTTTGTTAAATCCCTCCACAAGCCCTCCCCCATCACATAACTCCTACCAGAGCTAAATGACTAGTATTTTAAAAGGAGTGAAGGACAGCCCTAACCGGTTTGGCTCAGTGGATAGAGGGTTGGCCTGCCGACTAAGGGGTCCCAGGTTTGATTCCGGTCAAGGGCCTGTACCTGGCTTGCGGGCACATCCCCACTAGGAAGTGTGCAGGAGGCAACTGATCAATGTTTCTAACTCTCTATCCCTCTCCTCATTGTAAAAAAATCAATAAAATATATTTTTTAAAAGGAGTAAAGAACAAAGTTTCTCATTTGTATTTCCATTTGTTAGCCAAAAATAAACAGAAAGTCATACAAATAAGTTTAAGTCTCACAAGGTTTTCGCTTGCCTTTTTTTTTTATTATTATTATCCATATCCTAGAAATTTTCCATACTGTCCAATTTAACACCTCATTGCATACTGTTTTGTTTTCAAGTTGTTTCATGTATTTGTCTTGTGCCTAAAACTAAGATGCAAACTCTTTGTCAATAGGGAACGCTGTTTATATTGTACTTACTATTTTTTAAAATGGTACAGCACCTGACACAGTTGTTAGGTACTTTATAAACACTTGCTAATCAGTTTGAGTGCATAAATACCTTAATTTACATAATAGATGTGTTCTTGAGGCCAACATCAACCAACTTTAAAACTCACTAGGGAGCTAGATATTTAAGGGAATTCAGTAGTAAAAAGCCTTTTAAATTAAGTCACGAAGCACTCTGTAATTTAGCCTACTATATGTAAATCTCTATTTTCTTTTTAAAAAAATATATTTTATTGATTTTGTACAGAGAGGAAGGGAGAGAGATAAGAGTTAGAAACATCGATGAGAGAGAGTCATTGATCAGTTGCCTCTTGCACACCCCCTACCGGGGATGTGCCTGCAACCAACGTACATGCCCTTGACCGGAATCGAACCAGGGTCCCTTCAGTCCCCAAGCCGACGCTCTATCCATTGAGCTAAACCAGTTTCGGCTAAATCTCTATTTTCAAATGTGGTTTGGTTTAAAGCAGAAAACACCTGGGTATCATTGATTGAAAAATATCCATTTCTGTATCTTGTGCAAGGCTTTAAAGAGGCTTACTTAATAGTCTGCCCTGTTTCGTGCTACAGCGGATGGCAATACACTGGGGATCGAGTGGCCAAATGCTGCCCAAGGAGGCAAGGACCTGCCCCCTACCACTCACCAGCTGGGCAAACCACTGGCACTTTCCCGGGCCCAGAGTCCTCAGCCATAAAGCGATGGAGTGGAGTGAGAAGAGCTCTTTCAAAATCAACACCCCAGTTCTTAGGTAAGGGGGAGGGCGGACAGAAAAGCCTTCACAGACTCTCTTACCCGAGAGAGAGGGAGAGAGCACTCTCTCAGACCTGTGTTCTTTACCTCCGTTAGATGCCATTGACCCGGGAACAGCTTGTAATGATACAGTCATTGCCCACAAGGTATTTAAATTTCCTTGATTCTCCCTGGTCCTCCTGGACTCTCCATAAATGAAAAGGGCGCAACATCCTTGTGTTTCTATTTCAAAAAGGATGCTAAGGGACTAGGGGGAGACTTGGGAGTGAACAGATCTTTTTACTACTCTCCAAAATTAAGAGAAAACACTCAGGTGTGGTGTTTTGTTTTTTCCTAATAAATAATTTTAAACATTTAAAAAGTATAAGGCTGTTCAACTATTTCATTTTCTACCAAGGGAACCCTATGATCTATCATAGATAAAGAGGTTTGGGGACCGCTGGGGAGGGTGTTTATGAGCTGTAAACTGAGTGCACTGAGAGCAATTAGGCATTTAAATTAGAGCAATGTGTAAAGCTAACAGCTGGTAAGTGTTGTTAATTGCAAGCTATAGACCACCTGCTTGGCAGGATCTGCATATAAACGGAAGAAAATAGATTGAACAGTGGAGAGTAGAATATGGATGTGGTAATTCGGAGCATAAATTCAGGTGACACAGTCAGCTGGAGTATCTTTAATATGTGTCTAGAAGCACAGCATCTCCTCGAGGAATGCATGGCCGGACAAGGATTTGTTAGGCTATTTAAAATGGGCTTAAATTACAATTTAATTACTCTCACAGTTAATAGCTTGGGATTATTTCAAGAGAATCTGACCTTGAAGACTGATGCCTATTTATCTTATAATCATTTGATGCTAAAAAGTGAAATATAGTGGCAACCATACTTTGGTAAAAACTGCTGTTTGAATTTTAACCCTTCTAGTTTGGCCCCTGCATCTGATTAAAACACAGGGTACTTACCTCAGCTTCCAGGTGGAGACCTGGAGGCTAAGGCAATTCTCCCTTGCCTGGGACCAAGACCACAGGAAATTGATTCCCACTGACTCAGTAGCTTCAGGGATAGAAACTGTAGATAATCTTTAGAGACTAACCGCTGAGCTCTGCTTCTGTGTTATCGCTATCGCAAGATAGGGCCACATTCCAATGTCCTGCAGGATGTGACTGGGAACCTACTCTGCGGGCTGTCCCCAGTCTTTAGAATTTAGTATTTAGGACTTAGGAACAAAAGGAAAATTCCTGTGGTTTGAACCTTTAAAGGGACTGCCTACCCCTGAAACGGTGCAGTCGTGTGGGGACCATCTGCGTGTGGTGCTCTGGCGGCTGTCCTGGCCAGTTCAATAAATCCTTGCCTGCTTTTTCAAAATTAATTAATCAGCCTCCGGTGGTTTTATTTTGAACCCAGGGTTCGACCCCACAACAAAAAGAATGGTTGAAATAAAAACTTAGACACTTCTATTTATACACATTGTATTTACAACATTTATTAAAATAAGGTTTTTCACCATGTTCCCAGGATCCTACTTTAAAACTTGCCAATGGGAAAAAGAGGGAATTCTTAAGACATTGGTGTTCTAGCCTTCTGTCACTGAGCAACTTCTCGATGCTAAGTATATCTTTAAATCCTCTGTAATAAAGTATTGATCATTGTTGAAGGGGAAAAGATCAGAGGATTTGGATTTATACTTGGTCTGACCTGTACTTATTCCTCCCCTTTTTCTATCAAAATCAATTCATCCTAGACCTGTTGCTCTCTGGGTGTTTCAAGGTAGCAGGATTGGTAATTTCTTTCTTTCTTTTTTTTAAATATACATATATATATATATATACATATACACACACACACACACACATATATATATATATATATATATATATATATATATATATATATATAATTGATTTTTTTACAGAGAGGAAGGGAGAGGGATAGAGAGTTAGAAACATCGATGAGAGAGAATCATCTATCAGCTGCCTTCTGCACACCCCCTACTGGGGATGTGCCCACAACCAAGGTACATACCCTCAACAGGAATCAAACCTGGGACCCTTCAGTCCACAGGCCAACACTCTATCCACTGAGCAAAACTGGTCAGGGCAGGCTTGCTAATTTCTGATAAATTAGAAGGCAAATCCCTGGAGGAAGCCCCACTTTTTTCTATTAATTTTAAAAGCGAAAGTTTTTGCCGAAACCGGTTTGGCTCAATGGATAGAGCGTTGGCTTGGGGACTGAAAGGTCCCGGGTTTGATTCCGGTCAAGAGCATGTACCTTGGTTGTGGGCACATCCCCAGTGGGGGGTGTGCAAGAGGCAGCTGATCGATGACTCTCTCTCATCGATGTTTCTAACTCTGTGTCTCTCTCCTTTCCTCTCTGTACAAAATCAATAAAATATATATTTAATAAAATAAAAGGGAAAGTTTTGAAAAGCTTGAAGAATTTTTAAGGGGAGCTATCATTTTTTTGTTCCCTTTTTAACCTTCATACTTTTGTTTTAGACTAGATGATATTCTAAGACACATGCTGAATTCTTTATCCATTCATAAGCTATAATAAATATGTACTGAGTGCTCACTAGGTGCCAGGCAAAGTGCCAGGAGGTAATAATACAAAGCAAAGGTGAATCAGACTGTTTCTGGCCCTTGAGGAACCCCCATGTCCAAACAGGAGAGTCAGAAACATAGAAAGAATCACAACATGATAATCATAGCCTCAAGATTTTGAACATTCACTCAACGTCAGGCACTTTACTACATGATTTACATATGATATGTCATTTAACCCAACCACCAACCCCAATAGGGAGATGTGCATCTCTCCATTTGCAGATGAGGAGACAAGAAGCTTAGAGAGATAGTTATGTTGCCATTCTCTCGCTCTCCTCTGTACACTTAACTCCTCTACCTAAAATTTTCTTTTCTTTTTTTTTTTTTTTTACTACTGACTTTATTGATTTAAAAAACTTTATACGGACAGTGACGGTTTTGCCAAAAGAGAAGCCAAACGTCATTAAACAGACCAGGGGTGAGGGTAGGGGCCAGAAATCCACTCAGAAAAGCTGGTTGTTGACCTGAAACTGGCGGGAAGGAGAAGGGAGATGCATGCAAGAGTGAGAATTCCAAAAAAGGTGAAATGGTGAGGGGAGAGAACTCCCCCAAAGACCCGGAGGCCATTGGTGGTGGGCAGACAGCAATCGTTTCCTTGGTAGAAGACAAGGGAGCACCCCCACTCAGCTGCAAACTCTGGAGACTCGAGGCGGGGGTCAGGGGTCGGGGGCTCCCCAGAGAGCATCACAAGAAGGCGTCGCACCACTCGCGCAGGCACCCGAAGCAGTCCCCGGACTGCTTGGCGTTGGCGCCACACGTGTCCTTCAGCCACTCCCGGAACAGGTCTTCGTCCTTCTTCAGCACCAGGGACTGGCCCAGGACCACGTAGGCCTTGTCAAAGCCCCTCTCCTCCAGCTTCTTGCCCAGGACTTCACCGATCCCCGCCAGGCTGCCCACTGGCTTTTCCCCCATGGGCTCGGCCACGAAGTCTCGGTGCTTTTGGGAGGTTGTCATCTTGACCAGGGTTGATCTTGGTTGCGGGCATATCCCCAGTAAGCAGGAGGCAGCTGGTGGATGTTTCTCTCTCAAAGGTGTTTCTAACTATTTCTGTAAAAAGTCAGTAATTTTTTTTTTTAAGAAGAAAAAAAAAAAAAAGTCCAAAAAGAGTTTCCCCCACTATTCGAGAGAGAAATCTCTTCACTCCCCGGGGAAGGCGCTGTGTACTGCCCGGACCTCCCGGGGGAAAGACGATCCGGCCGCTCAGGTGGGCTCAGGTGGCGCACGCGGCGGCCGGGGCTCGGGAGGGCGTCACTCCCTCTGTGACCTTGGCTGGGAAATGAGGGCGCTGCTGCCCGGGAGGAGCAAACAAAAAGGGCCCTCCGCCCTCCGCCGCCCCGGGGGCTCCCGGGGTGGCAGCGGCTCCCGCCCCTCTACCTAAAATTTTCTATCTGCCTTCATCTAATTCCTGTTTGTCCTTCAAAAAGCCTTCCTTGACCTAGAGGAGGGACAATGCCTCGCCTACTGCTTCCTGTCCATCTCTAGCAGTGCATTGTCTCTAAATTTGCATTTAGTTTATGCCTGAATCCTCGACTAGATTGCATTAGGACTGAATTTCTTTCAGAGTGAGCATGGCTATGCCATCTTTGTATTCCTAGAATGTGGCTCAATGTATTTCATGCAATTCATTCTCAGTAAAAGCCATTTGACTGAATGAAGCACAGCAGAGCCAGGATTTGACTCTACATATATCTGCCTGGCTCCAAAGCCCTAACCAGTTCATTCTGTTAATTTGCTTAGAAATGAATCCTATGCAAAATATGGGAGCCCAGCCGAGACCGGTTTGGCTCAATGGATAGAGCGTCGGCTTGGGGACCAAAGAGTCCCGGGTTCGATTCCTGTCAAGGGCATGTACCTTGGTTGCGGGCATATCCCCAGTAGGGGGTGTGCAAGAGGCAGCTGATCGATGACTCTCTCATAGATGTTTCTAACTCTCTATCTCTCTCCCTTCCTCTCTGTACAAAATCAATAAAAAAAAAGAGAGACTTGCATTCCCTATTTGGGTGTGAAGGTCGTTTAAAAAAAAAAAAAAAAAATATATATATATATATATATATATATATATATATATATATATATATATATATGGGAGCCCAGAGGAGAGAAAGTCAGGGTAGGGCTCACAGAGGAGGTGATATTTAATATGGATTTTGAAGAATGTGTAGTAATTTGTCAAGTTCTGAGAGGAGCAAAAGCATCTCATCTGGGGAAACAGTTCACTCAGTGGCATGAGAGAGCAAGGTGCATTTGACCTATGAAGTGGTACTTTCACGTTGATACAGCACGGGTTGAGGGTGAATGATGGTAGATGGCAGGAAAGCTCGGGCACAACAGAATGAGAGAAACCTGATATGCCTTTCTAAGCAAAGAATTTAGTCACTGATAATTTTTAAATAGAGAAGGTCCCGTTTAATAGAGAGGAGTTGGAGTCCAAATACTTGGGTTGAAACCTAACTGTCACTATGTGATGTTAGCGATTCCCACGCACTCAGTTCCCTAACTGAAAACCTATAACACCTGACTCATCGCCTCATAGCGTTGTGATGAGATTCAATTAAGGTATACACTGAGTGGCCAGATTTTTATGATCTCTGAATGCATAATAATTTGGCCACTTGTGTGTGTGTGTGTGTGTGTGTGTGTATAGAGGCTCTGGTGGATGAATTCATGCATAGGAGAGGTCCGGACTTCCTGGCCAGGGGGAGGGGATATGGACATGGGCAGTTGGCCGGCCTGCCTGCTGGTCGAACTCCTGGTTGATGGGACAATTTGCATATACGCTGAGTGGCCAGATTATTATGCGTTCAGAGATCATAATAATCTGGCCACTCAGTGTGTAACCTAAAATTAACCGTTACAAGCATACCTGGTTTTATCTCACTTTGCTTTATTGTGCTTCACAGATGTCATGTTTTTTTTACAAATTAAAGGCAAGACCCTCCACCAGCAGAAAAGCAGAAAAGATTTTGACTCACTTTATTACGATAATTGCATTGTGGTGATGGTCTGGGACCAAAACCACAATATCTCCAAGGAATGCCTGTATAAATGCTAATTATTACTAACAAGTGAATTAGTGTGTTAGGGCTATCATAACAAATAACACAGACCAGGTGGCTTAAAGGACAGAAAGGGATTTCCTCACAGTCTGGAGGCTGGAAGTCTCAGATCAAGGTGTTGGCAGGGATGGTTTTCTTCTGAAGTCTCTCTCCTTGGCTTGCAGACGGCCATCTTTTCTCTGTGCTTGTCTGTGTTCTAATCTCTTTTTATAAGGACACCAGTCACATTGGATTAGGGTCACCATAATGACCTCATTTTACACCCTCCCCCACTTAATTACCTTTTTAAAGGCCCTATTTCCAAGTGTAGTCACATTTTGAGGTATTAAGAGTTAAAACTTTAGCATGAATTTTGAAAGTGATACAATTCAGCCTATAACAGCACTTAAAAAAAATATATATTTTTTTATTGATTTCAGAGAGGAAGGAAGAAGGAGAGGGAAATTGAAACATCAATGATGAGAATCATTGATCAGCTGCCTCCTGCATGCCCCCTACTGGGGATCAAGCCCGAAATCCAGACATGTGCCCTTGGCCAGAATCGAACCTGAGACCCTTCAGTTCACAGGCTGATGCTCTATCCACTGAGCCAAACTAGGTAGGGCAGCATTTTTTTTTTCTTTTTAAATCAATCTTTATTGTTCATATTATTACAAAGGTTCCTCATTTCTCCCCACCTCCACCAGGTTCCCACCCGACCCTTGGCCCCTTCCCCATCCCCAATTGTCCTCATTCATAGGTGCAGTTTATGTTCAGTCTCTTCCTCCCTCCCTTTGCCCGATAGTAAATCCCTTTTCAGATAGTAAATCAGTTACTTAGCATTTTCTCATATCAATAATACCACCACATGCCCAATGATACATTTCACACAAAAGACATTTCCAAATAGGTCAACCAGCCTCATCCAGGCCCCACCCATAGCACTCACAGATCAACACCCCAGCGCTATACTAACTCAACACATCCAGATCTAAGCCTTCATCACTTGATTCAGCAGACCCTCAAGTTCCCACAAAAGTTTCCAGCCATGTCTGAGAGGCAGCCGTGGGGTAGGGGCAGGCGAGGAGCGAGCTGTTCTGGGCCTGGCTGCTCCTGGCCTGGCCTCTGTTGTTCTGGTTTGTTCCACAATCAGTTGTTCCGAGTCTGGTCACCGCCGCTCCCGACCTAGTTGCTCTGGACCTGGCTGCTGCTGTTCCGGGCCTGGCCGCACCCGACCCGGCTGCTCTGGGCCCGGCTGCTCTGGGCCCGGCCACTCCGGGCCTGGCCGCTCCCAGCCTGGCAGCTGCTGCTCCGGGCCTGGCCTCACCAGACCCGGCTGCTCCGGGCCTGGGCGCTCCCAGCCTGGCAGCCTCTGCTCCGTGCCTGGCCGCTCCCAGCCTGGCAACTGCTGCTTTGGGCCTGGCCGCACCACACCTGGCTGCTCCGGGCCTGGCCGCTCCCAGCCTGGCAGCAGCTGCTCCGGGCCTGGCCGCTCCCAGCCTGGCAACCGCTGCTTTGGGCCTGGCCGCACCACACCCGGCTGCTCCGGGCCTGGCCGCTCCCAGCCTGGCAGCCGCTGCTCCGGGCCTGGCCGCACCACACCCGGCTGCTCCGGGCCTGGCTGCTCCCAGCCTGGCAGCCGCTGCTCCTGGCATGGCTGCACCAGACCCGGCTGCTCTAGGCTCGGCCGCTCCGAGTCTGGCCGCTCCCAGCCTGGATGCTCCGGGCTTGACTACTGCTGTTCTGGACCTGGCTGCTCCCAACCCGGCTGCTCTGGGCCCGGCTTCTCCGAGCTCGGCCACTCCGGGTCTGGGTGTTCCTGGACTGGCCTCCCTGGGCTTGGCTGCCTCCACCTCAGGCCTGGCTACCACTGCCCCAGGTCTGGCTGCTCCAGTGCTGGCTGTTGTTGCTCTGGTTCTGGTTGTTGCTGCTCTGGGGCCTGGCCGTTGCTGCTTTGTGCCTGGGCACTCTAGGCCTGGCCGCTGCTGTTCCAACATTCTGTCCTTTTTTTTTTTTAAAACACATTTATGTTGCAATGTTGGCTGGTGAGTTGAGTTCTGACTTAGTCTTTGATTTTTCAAGATCTTCTTTGTATTCTTTCTTAAGTAATTTTACTATCTTTTGCTCTCACTTGATTTCTTCACATTGAGAACTTTGGTTTCTTCCTCCTTGTCCTGGGAGCTCAGCAGGTTGGCCTGTGGCACCCCTTTGTTCTCTGCGGGCTCCCGCGCTGCTCCAGCCTGTTGCCGGGGTCGGCGCCGCCCAGGAAGCAGCCCCCAGCCTTGGCTCCGTTGCCCGCGCTCAGAGGTCGATGGCTCAGGGGCACCCCCCCCCTGGGGGCCCCGTTGCCCGGCTCCCTGCGGGCGCCCGGCTGGCTGGTGTCCAGCAGGGGCTCCTGCTCCCTGTCGCATTCCTCCAGTCTGGAGCTTTTTTTTTCTCCTTCTCGCTAGGGGAGTCTAGGATCAGAGTCAACAGACTGTCCTCTGCGCGCAGTGCGCACGACTCTGGGGGCTCTGCTTTTCTCCACTCCCCTGGGATTCCGCCTCACAGCCCCGTCTCCCCCTGCCCAAGCCTGGGTCCCCAGGGTCTGGTCCAGGACTGGGGTTCAGAGCAGTCCGGACTGAGGCTCAGTGCCTCTGGAGGCTTTGTTTCTTCACGCTAGGGTACTCCAGCATCAGAGTCAACATTCAGTCCTCTGCGCACAATGTGCGCGCGACTACGGGGGCCCTGCTTTTCGCTGCTCGCTTGGGATTCCGCCTCACAGCCCCATCTCCCCCTGCCGGAGCCTGAGTCCCCAGGGTCTGGCTCATAACTGGGGGTCAGCGCTGCCGGTTCGGGGGTTCAGCCCAGGCTGGGGGTTTTATTTCCTTCCTGCTAGGGAATGCCAGGCAGCACCCAGCCCTCTCCTCCTGTCTGGCTGCGACCTCTCCGCGCGCGCACGCAGCATGTCTCAGTATTTTAGGCTTTTTTTCAGCTCCTCTGATTTTCCTTCTGGTTTTCTCTTTCCTTCTTGTTGTAGAATTTTCAGTCAGTCGACTACCTGTAGCTCTGGGCGATGTCCACTCTACATTTTAGTTGTATTCCATTGAAATTGTTGTCTGCTGCTGCGGTTAGGTGTCTACCTGAGCAGCCATCTTGGATCCTCTCCATTTTTTTTAATTTTTTTTTTAATGTAACAATTCCACAATGGCCGAAACCGGTTTGGCTCAGTGGTAGAGCGTTGGTCTGCGAATTGAAAGGTCCCAGGTTCGATTCTGGTCAAGGGCATGTACCTTGGTTGTGGGCACATTCCCGGTAGGGTGTTTGCAAGAGGCAGCTGGTCGATGTTTCTCTCTCATCAACGTTTCTAGCTCTCTATCCCTCTCTCCTCCTCTCTGTAAAAAATCAATAAAATATATTTAAAACAAAAACAAAAAACAATTCCACAATGACTACTTAGGTAATGCCAAATGAAAAATGGGAAACCTACCTTATTTTCAAACCACGTCATTCAAACAAGAAATAAAGTCACAGACTCATCCCCACACCTTTTTTCCTATGAAATGAATCCTCTAGTCAGAGGCTGTGCTGAGTGGGATTTCATATCCAGGGATCAAGCTTTCCATAACCCATCCCCAAAAACAGCACTGGCTGTGGCTCCGCAAACAGGAAAGGTAATCCCATGCCTGGGATTAGTGTCCATCCTCTCCAAGGTGAACCACTGGCTCTTCCAGGATGGAAGGGGCCCTCAAACTGACCTCTTTAAGGAATAGTTCCACATGCGGACCCCTGTTTTGTCTATGTTGCTGACAGCTGGATGTTTAGAAGCAGCAGCAGCTAGACTGGCACTGGGAAGTAGAATTCCATGCTTCGTGTCAATGCATAGTCTTCATTTTGGCCACAACGGCCAGTCTGTTCATGTGCCCATCATGGCAATAGCAAAGGCTGGCTAACACTAACTAGCTGAGAAATTTTGCCCACTTTGTTCAGCACTTCCGTGGTAGATGCTCTGGCAGGCATGAACATAACACAGAAATCTCCATACTTGATGCCTACTCTCTCTGTCCTCTATGTTCCTTGTCTCCTGTCATCCAATCCTTTTCTTCCATGCTCCTGACCACATAGATGGTCAGGCCAGTCCGTATATATTCTTACCTCAGACCATTCTTCTTTCACACCACCGCATGGCAGGCAGAGTGAGTTACCTGATTGGTGAATTTTGAAATAGATGAGCATCCTCCTTCCTGTTTCTCTGCCTATGAGTGTGTGGGTCAGTCTGTCTAGTTCTGCTGCTAAAGTACTGTACATCCTCCAAACTAGACTCTATTAGTAATTAAAGGGATATTTGGGCCTCCAACTGTCTGACTCCTACATAGTCTCTTAATTAGTTCCAAGCTCCAGAAATGTTACTGATTTTGTGACTGAAACCCAGACAGAAAGTATGTAATCTGAGCCTTCAGCCAGCAAAAGGGCAGTGCTTCCTACTTCAAAGTTTCTCCAGAGAGGTGGGCACTCCCCTGAACCCAGGGAATTAGAGAATATTTGATGTCATGGTGGACATAGGAGTGAAGCGCTTGAAAGAACATTAGCCCCTTGCCCTGGCCAGGTGTCTCAGTTGGTTGGAGCATCATCCTATACAAAAAGGTTGCCAATTTGATTCCTGGTCAGGGCACATACCCAGGTTGAGGATTTGATCCCCGGTCGGCACATACGAGAGGCAAGAGATCAATGTTTCATTCTCGCATAGATCTCTCTCTCTCTCTCTCTCTCTCTCTCTCTCTCTCCCCCCCCCCCCCTTTCCTCTCTCTTAACATATCCTTGGGTGAAGATAAAAAAAAGAAAAGAATATTATCCCCTGATAGAAAGTTCTGGGTGACAAGGAGGTAGGTGCTTCTGGTTGCTTCATCTCTCGGTCTTCTTCAGAGCTTATTTTCAGGAGCCCAATGTGATGAGAGCTAAAACCAGGCTCCTGTAGCAACTCAGATTCTTTGAACTCATAGTTCATTTGGACCCTATCATGGAGAGAACTTTGGAAGTATCAGGGAGAAAATACTTTAAAAAACATATTTTATTGATTTTTTTACAGAGAGGAAGGGAGAGGAATAGGGAATTAGAAACATCAATCAGCTGCCTCCTGCACACCTCCTACTGGAGATGTGCCCGCAACCAAGGTACATGCCCTTGGCCATAATCAAACCTGGGACCCTTCAGTCCGAGGGCTGATGCTCTATCCACTGAGCCAAACCTGTTAGAGAGAGAAAATACTTTTAAAATTCTCTTTGAAAGCACATTTTTCTTTATATGTGTTTTTGTTGGTTGTTGCGGAAAGATTCTTTCCATACACTGAATTCTTCACAAATACTAATTGCCTATTGCATTTGAGGTATTTACTATGAGTGTGTGTGTGTGTGTGTGTGTGCAAGAAAAAATAAGCAGTTTTCACACTTCTTACAAGTATTCAGTTAGTGACTATGTACTAACTGAAGCAAATTTTTTCATTTCAAAGCAATGTTGAAGTACTTTTGCTCAGTGAATTATTAGGAAGGATGAAGTTCCCATATAAGTGTGGAAACTAGAGCACCTTATTTTACCTCAAAAAAGAGAAATAAAACAAAAGGGAAATATCTTATGTTTTTGTTCTAAGTAAAGGGAACAGAATACATTTGATGTTCACTTACTTTTCACAGTGCCAACAGTTGGCCCACTTCTGCCCTTCTGGTGGCCACACCTGTTGCATCACAAAACCGAAAACAGATACGTGGGCTCCTAGAAAGCAGAAGTAAGTGTCAGATTCAATCAGAGAAGCAGTGGGAACATCATAGGGTGAAGCCTGTGCTTAACCACAAGGTGCCAAATTTGACCAAGGGTTGCTGCAGACAAAGAGAAGTCACAGATGAGCAGCTGGGAGAGGAAGAGAGGCAGGAGGAGGAAAGAGATGGAGATAAGAGATGGGAAAGCAGATACAGATCAATTCCGTGTGGTTGGCTGGAAGGTGGGCTTTGAGGTTTGGGCTGCTTTGAGTGAGCCCAATGCTGCTGTTGTTCCCCTCACCTCCCTGCACTGCCCAACATTTGACACCTGTAACAGACAATCGTTCATAGGAGGTTAAAAAACATGGCAGTGAAAAGCCTGGGCTTTCGAGTCAGGAAACCTGGTGTCAAGGCCCAGCATCATTATGAGTGTGTGGGTCAGTCTGTCTAGTTCTGCTGCTAAAGGACATCATTAATTAACATACCAATTAACTCAATAACTCCCACTTTTAGTTTCGTTATCTGTAAATGGAACTAAAAGGGACTCTTTCTCAGAGAAAAGTGTGATGATGATTATATGAGATAATAGATTCCAGAGTTCTTAGCACAATGCCTGGCATATAATGAGTCCCGATAAAAGTTAGCTCGTGTTATTAACCTGGGTCAATAGAACTCTAACTGAGCTGGAAAGACCCACAGATGTGTGGAAGTGTCTTTGTTTAAACCACACTTCACCAAAGCCATTCCATTTTCATCTATTTTATATACATATTTGTCTTCTGTGAAGATTTTGCTTTAAACCCCCCCCCCCCCCAAAAAAAAAAAAAAAAACCTTCAAGCTCTGGCCAGATAGCTCATTTGGTTAGAGCATCATCCCAACACTCTAAGGTTGTGGTTTGGATCCCTGACAGGGCACAAACAACAGTGAACCAGTAAATGCATAAATAAGTGGGACAACAAATCTCTCTCTCTCTCTCTCTCTCTCTCTCTCTCTCTCTCTCTCTCTCTCTCTCTCTCTTCCTCTTTCTAAAAAATCAGTTAAAAATATTTTTAAAGCCCTTCAAGATCATGATCTAAATCACTGATGTAAATCTTGAATTGGGCAAGTCAAAGGACCTGCTCAGGACACTTTACTAGAAAGTTCCCTCCATACTGGCAGAGACTAGCCTTTGGGTACAAAGTCCCACCAGCTATGATGACACTTGTAATGCCATCTGCCTGCCTACACTTTAACATCTTACACATAAGGAAACAATGGGAAATTTTTTGTCAGTTGCCCTGCTCAAACTCAGGAAACATTGCAACCATAGCGTTTCCTCAATCCACCAAGTTCATTAACAGAATTGTTTCTCTTTGGCTTCATTCTTCCAGTGCAGCTTCCCAGATAACAGGTGATCAATGCTGACAATGATAATTTATAGGTTCTTCGATTAGCAACAAAGATTTACTTCTTTTAGGTAAAGCTTGGATTAATGTCGTCACTGATAAAATTAGTCTCTGGATACAGAGTTTAATGCCTTGGGAAGCGTGTAAGTCAAATACAGGGGAAAGAAGAGTAGGTGTAAGAAAAATTTGATTTCTACAATTTTATGTCCAGAAAATTAAATTGAAAGAGAAGTTTTAAAAATCTCTTTTTGCATTAGTTATAGCGTTAAATAGTTTTCTTTGAGAAATAAAGCTAGATGCACCATCATTTTAGAAGGTTAGGTTGGTGCATCTTTCCATGCACCGAGTGTTTTTTAATGTGGAAGGTTCCAGGTGGGCTCTTGGATTGTTCTGTGCTTCAACAATGCCATGAAAATTGGTCTGGGATTATATTTCCCACGCCCCCACCTCCTATTACCAAACTAGTATATCACCCATCTGCACAGGGATAAAATTTACACCTGCATCATGCAATTTCTATAAGAATACACTTTGTTTTGATAGAAGGGCTTGTGACACAAGAAGGCAACAAAAGTTATTTTTATAACCCTCGAAGGTCAGGGATCTGGAAAAATAAATAAATGTAGTATACTTATTTGACAATAGTAAAGTTTTTTTTTTTTTAAAGAGTAGAAATACATTTTTAACCATGTATTATATAGAGAAGTTTAGAAATCTTAATCTAGAAAATAACTAAATAAAATCTTCACTTAGAGTATATTTGGTCAGAGTTTATAGGGACATTTTGATAATCAAAAACCATATGTACACTATAAATATAATGTTCTGGAAGTTAAATCAAAGCACTGAAATATAATGCCATAAAAATAAAATTGAATGTAATGACACATTTAAAAATTTTAATTACTACATGAGGCTCAGGGTCATATATGAAACTATAATCATTATATTGTACTGGGTTAAAAAGAGAAATGTCAGTTAACTTTTCTTAGTAATAGAATAATGAATAGTAGAATTTACTACATTCAGTAACATTTAGCAGCCCACCACCCCAATTTAAACTGCTTTTCTTTAAAAAAAAAATTTTTTTTATTGATTTCAAAGAGGAAGAGAAGAGAGCAATAGAAACATCAATGATGAGAGAGATCATTAATTGGCTGCCTCATGCAGGGGATCCAGTCCACAACCCAGGCTTGTGCCCTGACTGGGAATCAAGCTTTGATCTCCTGAGTCATAGGTCAATGCTCAACCACTGAACCACACCAGCTGGGCAAAACTGCTTTTCTTTTCTTTTTTTTAAATATATTTTACTGATTTTGTACAGAGAGGAAGGGAGAGAGATAGAGAGTCAGAAACATCAATGAGAGAGAGTCATCGATCAGCTGCCTCTTGCACAGCCCCCACCGAGGATATGCTCTCAACCAAGATACATGCCCTTGACCGGAATTGAACCCGGGACCTTTCAGTCCCCAAGCCGACGCTCTATCCATTGAGCCAAACCGGTTTTGGCAAACTGCTTTTCTTTAAATATATATATTTTATTGACTTTTTACAGAGTGGAAGAAAGAGCGATAGAGAGTTAGAAACATCGATGAGAGAGAATCATGGATCAGCTGCCTCTTGCACACCCCCTACAGGGAATGTGCCCGCAACCAAGGTACATGCCCTTGACTGGAATCGAACCTGGTACCTTTCAGTCCATAGGCTGACGCTCTATTCATTGAGCCAAACCGGTTTCAGCAAAACTGCTTTCCTTTAAAACTAGGTTATTTCATCTTATTCTATATTCAGTAAATATTTTTTTATCTATTACTGTAATAGTTATAAAATAGCAAAAGTGTTCCATGCTTTAGCTACGTGAACCCTGATGAAAGTATTTTTTTTTTTTTCTGGTTAAATAGGAAGTAGTATAAATAACTTACTATTTGAATATTTCCCTTAGGCAATCTATATAGATGACCTTCATTTATTAAGGCAATTAAATTAGCTGTGGACAAAAAGCTATTTAAAGTTAATTTTAAGCAACTGCAGTTGTAATTTACAAACTACCTTTCGACTCATTTATTCTGAGAGAGAGTTGGGAGGCTGATGGCTTTTATTCCGGACCTCTCGTTATTTATGTGAGGCAGATACAGACCAGATGCATGCCCCAATGAACCGTGATGCATGCCCTAGATGTGTGCCCCAACAAACCACAGCCATCTCCCCCAAATCTAACTACTCAATCCCTCCCCCCTTCCCTCAGTCAACCATAGTTCCTCTTGGGGTAGAAACCTTTTGAACAGGACAATCTGTTCCACACTTACATTTATGTCTAGAAAGCCAGGTGATTATGGAATGTATTTTCACTGAACTTTTCTTTAAACTGAATCTGGAATTGTTGAGCAAAATGTAATTTACTTTTCTAGCTTTTTAAAATCAGGACAGTATAAGGGAAAGATGGAAACATTCAATTGAAGTCTGAGAGCCTGAAGAATAACACATTATTTGCTCAAAGTCATGCAGGTGGAGAAAAGAACTTGTGATTTCATGTCCTCAGATATATTGCTTATTCAAAGACATATTTAAATTCATTTAGAAATAAAATATTTCAATCAATATTGGCTTCATGGACATGCAATCTGTGCAATCAGAGTTGAGAGTACTACATTTACCTGTGCTGCCATCTTGACTGAAAGACTAATTATTCTTTCTCAGCTTCATTTCCTCCTTGGTAAAGTGGGCATAATCACCACTTTCTCAAAAGGTTTTATGTATAAGGACCCAGAAAATATTATATGATCAATAAATATTATATTTATGATGTCTTGGGGATGGTGCAGGAAGACTTCTCTAAGGAGGTGGAACTCTGTAGAACAGTGTTTCCCAAACTTTTGACATATGTGTACCCCTTCTATAATTTTCATAATGCTGAGTACCCCTCGTACTCATGAGAACGTAGAATTAGACGCAGCTGAGCACGGTGCAGTGCATATCCCCACCAAACTCCGGTGCAACTCATACCCCCACCAAACTCTTCCCATACCCCTGGGAGTACACGAACCACACTTTGGGAAACACTGCGTAGAACCTAAACTGAACTCTACTAGTATAGGCAGTGAAAGAGCAAGACAGTTATTACAGTCATGAGGAATGATATGAGCAATATAAAGAATAAAGTAAGGCAAATTTATGAACCAATTTTGTGCTTTCTCTCTATACTCCTATAACATTCTATACTTACGGGGTTTTTACGGTCTAATTCTAAAAACCCATTCTTGGAAAGCAAGAAATGTATCATTTATGGCTGTTGCTATATTCTCAGTACCTAACATAATACCTGGTGCGCAGTAGGCACTCAAGCACAATGCTGAGTGAGTGGAGAAATTAACAGGTCCAGTGTCAGTTGCAAGATTAATTGAAGATGGGTTCTTTAAAATTTAAATTCTTTGTTGTTGAAGGTATTACATATTTCTGCTTTTCCCCCCATTGACCTCTCCCCAGCCGCTCCTGCCTCCCAGCACATGCCCTCGCCCCCCTAGTGTCCTTCAGCCCAGCCTGTGCCCTCTCTCAGTCCGGGACCCCTTGGGGGATGTCTGACTGCCAGCTTGTGGCTGGATGACCTTCTGAGGCTGCACAGCCTGCTGCTTGAGCTTCATCAGCTGCTGCACATGCACAGTCTGTCCTGTGAACACCACTGAGTGGGTGAGTCAAGTGTGGTGGCAGGCTCACCACGCTGAGTTCCCTGCACTTCCCTGAGTCACTGAGTTATTCAGACTCACTGCCTTCTACCGAGAACGGAACCAAAACTGGGCCTAATCTGGCAGCTGGACATCCCTCTCACAGTCCCGGATCCCTCAGAAGATGCAGTAGTGCACCAAGTAGCAGGAAGCCAGGGAGGAGCCTGAATCAGGACCAGGCACTCTTCAGTGTGAACTCATCCTGGCCCATTGTGCCTGCTGCCACCGCTCAGCAGTGCTGCCTCAGAGTCAGGAGAGTCTCCCCATGCCTTGGCAGCTGCGCTTACAAGCCATGAGTCCAACTTCTGGCTGAGCGGCAAACACCCTCTGGAGCACACTGATCACTAGGGGCAGCTCCTGCATTGAGAGTCTTCCCCTCTGGTGGTCACTGTGCATCATAGCAACTAGTCGTTCTGGTCATTCTGATCGTTCCACTGTTAACGGTCGCTTAGGCTTTTATTAGATAGGATAGAATAAACTTGCTTAATTAGACCTGCTTTTTGATTTGGCTAAACTTTTCCCAGCCCAGTGAAGCACCCCAACTTCTCTTTCAGGTAATTGTCAGCAACACAGCAGAAAATATCAACACAAAGCAGATTATTATACAGTATATATAAAGGATTCATTACCAGCCTTTGTTAAATTTAACAGGCTTTTATAAGTACAATTCTCTAAATTTTTATTACATTTTATTTTATTTTTTTTAATATATTTTATTGATTTTGTACAGAGAAGAAGGGAGAGAGATAGAGAGTTAGAAACATCGATGAGAGAGAGTCATCGATCAGCTGCCTCTTGCACACCCCCTACTGGGGATATGCCCGCAACCAAGGTACATGCCCTTGACAGGAATCGAACCCGGGACCCTTCAGTCCCAAAGCCGACGCTCTATCCATTGAGCCAAACCGGTCTTGGCATTGAGCCAAACCGGTTTTGGCTAAATTTTTATTACATTTTAAATTTGATGCTTCTTGCTTGATGACTTAGCAAGAACTAACATTACTTTCAGCACTAAAATCCTATTAGCATTAAATCATAAAATTTAATATTTCAAAATGTTTCTCGCAGACAACCAATCCCATCAATGTTTCAACTCAGTTCAGTAAATACCTTGTGAAAAGCAGTATAGTGGGAGTTTTTCTCAAAGCCTGATAATGACAAGTTGAAGTACTTATTATCTTCTATGCTCCTAGTACCGGTACATACTTAGTAACAGAGCAATGTAAAGTTGAATAATACTTATTTCCTACCTCACAGGAAGTCACAGATTAGTGATGGAAATAAGCAAAATTTACAACTAATGACAATAATGACAATAAACCAGACTATGTAGTACCTAGGTGTGATTATAAGCAAATGCTAAATAAATGTGTATGTTGAGTTAGGAGTGTCTTCACAAAGCTAGTGGCATTTGCTGTAGGCCTTCAAGGATGAATAAAACAGAGAAAGATGAGATAGAGGGCCCATGCAGAGGGAACAGGATGAAATAAGGCAGAGAAGTAAGTAAAAACATTGCAGACTTATCTGATGTGCCTAAAAGAGCAAGTGAAAATAGGTAGAAAATGGTAGACATAGAGCCAAGATAGGAACACAGGGAAAGTGGATATTTTTAGTGGAGGGAGAGGAGGAAATAGTGATAGGTGATAAGTAACAGTTGAAGGCATAGAATGGATGAATCAGTTTAGGAATAGTTGACTAGAAAATGAAAAAGAAAGGAACTAAAGAAGTATTGTGATTTTTATTTAAGGACTCAGCAGAGAAAGAGAAATGAGCAAACATGTAGACAGAAATCCATCAGAAAGGTATTGAGGTTTGCCCTGACCAATGTACATATACTCCCTCCTGCCTCAATTTTCCCTATTATTTTTTTTTCTAAAATATATTTTATTGATTTTTTACAGAGAGGGAGAGAGAGGGATAGAGAGTTAGAAACATCAATGAGAGAGAATCATCGATCAGCTGCCTCTTGCCCCCTCACTGGGGATGTGCCCACAACCAAGGTATATGCCCTTGACCAGAATCGAACCTGGGACCTTTCAGTCCTCAGACCGACGCTCTATCCACTGAGCTAAACCGGTTTTGGCTTCCCCTATTATTAATATCACTAGAGGCCCGGTGCACGAAATTCATGCTTGGTAGAGGGGTGTCCCTCAGCCCGGCCTGCACCCTCTCTAACACAGGACCCATTGGGGGATATCCAACTGCAGGAATCGGGCCTAGATTGGCAGTCAGACATCCCTCTCACAATTCAGGACTGCTGGCTCCTAACCATTCGCCTGCCTGTTGGCCTGATCCCCCTAACTGCCCTTCCCTGACAGCCTGATCCTCCTAACTGTTCTCCCCTGTCAGCCTGATCCCCCTAAATTCTCTCCCATGACAGCCAGATCACCCCTAACTGCTTCTGCCTTGGCCTCACCACCATGGCTTTGTCTGGAAGGATGTCCAGTCTAATTAGCATATTACTCTTTTATTAGTATAGATGCTTTGGTGTAATATATGTGTTAAAATTGATAAACCAGCATTGATACATTATCATTTATTAAAGTCCATAATTTATACTAGGGTTCACTCTTTGGGACTTATAATTATACCAGACCCAATGCACGAAATTCGTGCAAGAGTAGGCCTTCCTTCCCCCCCCGGCTGCCAGAACCGGCTTCCCTCTAGCACCCAGCTTCCCATGCAGAGGGAGGCCCTGCCCACCTGCCGCAGCTCACCCCGTGGCCTGGGCCTCCCCAGCAGGGCGATCATGGGTGATGGTTGGCCCCTGACCAATCTCATCGCACCCGCCTTGGCTGGACTGGCACCAGTGGATGTCATAGAATGGTTGTCTGGAAGGTTGTTCGATCTAATTAGCATATTACACTTTTATTATTATAGATGGACTTTTTATTGTGTTTCTTGATGCTCTTTCTCACTTTAGAGATACATCTTGATGAATTTATTCAACTTTTATTGTTCTTTATGGTGATATTTTATAATTAGTCATATTTAAGGTGGTTGTTTTTTTATCAAAGAACTTTTCTTAAGAATGTCTTCAATTCTGGGTTTCATGGAGCTATTTATCATTAGTCTCCAAAATAGGTACTAGAAAATAAAAAATTTGCATAATCACCTAGTCACACTTCTAGTATTTTTTATTTCCAATTTAAATACAAACCAAAGATGACACATTTCTGTCTTTTTAAAGATGTAGTTTATGGATATATTTAAATATTTTTTTAAAAGGAAGTAATTTTTATGGGAATATGGACATCTAAATATATTTTTAAGTTAAATCTTTATTGTTGAAAGTATTACATATGTCCCCCCATTGACTCCTTCTAGCCTGCCCTCACCCCCTACCCCAGGCCTTCACTACTTTATTGTCTGTATCCATGGGTTATGTATATGCATACAAGTTCCTTGCTTGATCATTTCCCACCTATCCACCCTCCCCTGCCTTTCCTCTGAGATTCCACAGTCTGTTCTATGCTTCTATGTCTCTGGATCTATTTTGTTTATCAATTTATTTTGTTCATTAGATTCCACATATGAGAGAAATCATGTGATACTGGTCTTTCTCTGACTGGCTTATTTCGCTTAGCATAACACTCTCCAGGTCCCTCCATGCTGCCTCAAAGGGGAAGAGACCCTTCTTTTTTTTTTAAATATTTTATTGATTTTGTACAGAGGAAGGGAGAGAGATAGAGAGTTAGAAACATCGATGAGAGAGAGTCATCGATCAGCTGCCTCTTGCACACCCCCTACTGAGGATATGCCCGCAACCAAGGTACCTGCCCTTGACCAGAATCAAACCCAGGACCCTTCAGTCCCCAAGCCGACGCTCTGTCCATTGAGCCAAACCGCTCTCGGCGAGACCCTTCTTTTTTACTGCTGCATAGTATTCCATGGTGTAAATGGACTCATCTACTGATGGACACTTGGGCTGGTCCATGATCTTAGCTATTGTAAATTGTGCTGCTATGAACATAGGGGTGCATGCATTCTTTCTGATTGGTGCTTCAAGTTTCTTAGGATATAATCCTAGAAGTAGGATCACTGGGTCAAATGGCAGTTTCATATTTAATTTTTTAAGGAAACCCCATACTGTTTTCCATATGGTTTCACCAGTCTGCATTCCCACCAGCAATGTACTAGGGTTCCCTTTTCTCCACATCCTTCCCATTTGTTTATTTGTTGATGGTAGCCATTCTCATTTTAATTTGCACCTCATTGTCATTTTAATTTGCATCTCTCTAATGATCTGTGACTTTGAGCATTTCGTCATATGTCTCTTAGCCCTCTGTATGTCCACTTTCGAGAAATGTCTATTTAGGCCCTTTGCCCATTTTTAATTGGATTGTTGGTCTTCCTTTTTAAGTTGTATGAGTTACTTATATTTTTTCAGCATTAACCTTTTATCATATGTATCATTGCCAAATATGTTCTCCCATACAGTGTGCTCCCTTTTCATTTTGTTGACATTTTCTTTTGCTGTGCAGAAGCTTTTTATTTTTATTTAGTTTCATCTGTTTATTATCTCCTTGGTTTTCTTTGCTGTAGGAGATGTAGCTGTACACATATTGCTGTGAAAGACATCTGAAATTTTGCTGCCTATAGTTTCTTCTAGGATTTTTATAGTTTCATGACTTACATTTAAGTCTTTTATCTATTTTGAGTTTATTCTTGTGTATGGTGTAAGTTGGTGATCTAGTTTATTTATTTTTTGTATATATCTGTCCAATTTTCCCAACACCATTTATTGAAGAGACTGTCTTGGACTCCATTGTATGTTCTTGCCTCCTTTGTCAAATATTAATTGAGCATAATGGCTTGTGGAAACCCAAATATTAATAATATTTATCTATACATTGATTTTGAGTAATTTTTATTTTATGCTTTATACTTTTTATGTTCCTCTAGAAATAACATCAATATTTTGTAATTGGAAACAATATATCTGTTAAACAACTTTTGACTTGTACAAATGATTTTTGCTTTTGCGAAAATACGGAGGAAAATTTTAATGTTTTATCGCAATGAAAATATATGTTAAAAGCAATTACCCTTTTACAGAAGTATTTAGAAGTAAAATTAAGGCCAAAGCAAAGTAATTTCATGGCTTAAAAGCACTTTAGTCCCAAGGACATAAAATATATTAACTTAAACAGTGAGACTATTGTCCATAAGAGTACCAAATATTCTGAATGGATAGAAGCATCCAGCTGTAAACTGATGGACTTTTGTGGGCTAAGAGCAATTGAGGATTTCTACCTTTTAAAAAGCCATTTCTCATGTTACAGCAATGGAGATTGTGGAAAATGTATAGGACATATTATGTTTCACTTTCTTTATTTGCACAGCTTGTTGAAAGTAGGTTAATTCTGTGGGAATCCTTACTCCATTCACAACTTGAATATGTACTTACAGTATTTATACATCTAGAGTTCAATTGATGATTCTGGTCACCATCTGTACATGGATAGTTTTCACCCTAAGAGCTATTGGTTCTAATGTATTGTTTTGACATTATGTACTATAGTTGATTAAACAGAAGTAAATACCAGGTGCTGGCCTTCTCCTCTCAAGGGCCCCCAGCATGGCTGGCTGGATTGTGGAGTTTAATAAGATGCTGTACATAATGATCAATCAACTATTTGAGTTAGGTAAATCTTCAGGAGTGTAAAACAAACAAACAATAACAACAACAAAAAGTACAGGAAGATGACTAGAAGGAGACCTAAATAGGAGAAGGAAAATGTTTTCTGATAATTTTGTTAAGGAAATTAAGAAAAAGACTGAATCCAAGATGACAATTTGCCCATCAGAGGGGAAAGACGTGGGAATGTAGCAAGTCTTAAACAAAGAATAAGCACCGATCGACTCCCCGCTGGAGGGTTTCAGCCACATCCACAAACTATGTAAAAGCATTAAGAAGGAGACCAAGAAGCATCAGTGTAAAGTTCATTCTGGGTACATTCCATAAAATGATGAGCTGGAGTTGAAAATGGGAGAGATCATTGATATTTACGGAGAGGTAGAACAAGGCCGGTGGAGTGGAACCTGAACAGCAAGTTGGGACAGTTTTCCTCAAATTCTGTGAAAGAGTTAGAGGGAACAGATGGCAGTGAAACTCATGAAGCCCAGGAGGATTTAGAGACTGTTCTGGGCCGCCTTATCTTTCCCCGCTCTGGGGAATGGGAATGAAACTGCACTTGGATCAGTTACACAGCCAAAGAAAATTAGAGGAATCGGATTTAAAGAAGGCACTGTAAAATTTAGGATAAAATATCCAGTGAAAGAGAAGAGAAAAAAAAACCCAAAAAACAGAAAAGCCCTTAATCATACAGTAACTAGGATCCAGAACTCAGAGTGAGGAGATGGCAAAACAGACCCTGAAAGTAAAATTAAAGCTAAGGAATATAGTGTTCTAGATGAAATAAATTTTAAATTTTTTTTCAAAAAAAAAAAATAAAGAAAGAAGTAAATACCACAACACTTGGTTCTCTAAAACAAAATTCAGCCCAATAATTTTGACATTATTGTGAAATCTAACATACTCATCATCCACACTCGGTTCACTACGTAGTCAAAGTGAAAGCTCGGGAAAGTAAGAAAGAGATCTGGGTAGAAATAATACCACTCATTTCACAAAATATCTGAATTGAAGTGAACTCAGACTAAAGAGTTCAATAAAGTTATATAGACTAGAGATCCCGAAATTTATCAACCATCGCTGTTGGCTGATATTTACGGCATCCCTTTCTGTTTCTACTCTACTGTTTCTTTTCAATCATGTACAGTAAACCAGTAACTTGTTTACAGTTTTTTCAAGGACTAAAGATTAAAAAACAAACTAAACAATTTAAAAGCAAAATTTCCTGAGATTTATAGATGCAACCTAAAAAATCTGAGCATAGGATATGGGAAATCTTTACAGTTTATAACTTTTTAGACATTTTAATAGCAGCCAAAGCATAATGAGTACCAAGTGATCAAATTTCAGCCACAAAGTTTGAAAACTCATTTTAAAAAGTTTGATGGTCACCTTAGCTGGTCTGGCTCAGTGGATAGAGCACTGGCCTGCAGACTGAAGTGTCCTGGGTTCGATTCTGGTCAAGGGCACATGCTGGGGTTGTGGGCTCGACCCCCAGTAGAGGCATGCAGGAGGCAGCTGATCAATGATACTCTCTCATCATTAATGTTTCTCTCTCTCTTCCTCTCCCTTCCTCTCTGAAATCAGTAAAAAAAAGTACTAAAAAAAATGTTTGAACCCTAACCAGTTTGGCTAAGTGTATAGAGCATCGGCCTGCGAACTGAAAGGTCCTAGGTTCGATTCTGATTGAGGGCATGTACCTTGGTTGCAGGTACATCCCCAGTAGGGGGTGTGCAAGAGGTGGTTGACCGATGTTTCTCTCATTGATGTTTCTATGCCTCTCCCTTCCTCTCAGTAAAATAATCAATAAAATATATATATTTTTTAAAAAGGTAAACCCACCTAACCTGTTTGGCTCAGTGGATAGAGCGTCGGCCTGCAGACTGAGGGGTCCTGGGTTTGATTCCGGTCAAGGGCATGTACCTTGGTTGGGCACATCCCCAGTGGGGGATGTGCAGGAGGCAGCTGATGGATGATTCTCTCTCATCGATGTTTCTAGCTCTCTATTCCTCTCCCTTCCTCTCTGTAAAAAATCAATAAAAAATATTTTTAAAAAAAGGTAAACCCCTAAAAAAAGATTTAAAAAATGTTTGATGATCATCACACACTGTAATATACAGATCATGTATCATAGAAATGTATACTTAAAACCTATACAACCCTATTAATCAATGTCACCCCAAAAATTTAATTTTTTAAAAAGTGTGATTGTTGCCCTGGCCGGTGTGGCTCAGTGGATAGAGTGTCAGCCTGGGGTTCGATTTCAGTCAAGGGCACGTGCGTGGGTGGTGGGTTCAATTTCCCCCCATAGGGGACGTCCAAGAGGCAATTGATCCATGATTCTCTGTCATCATTGATATTTCTATCTCTCTCCCTTCCTCTCTGGAATCAATATGAAACATTTTTTTTTTTTTTTTTAGTTTGACTATTAGCTTCTCCATAATGTTCTTCACCAGCTTTAAAAAAAACAAAACAAAAACAAAAACAAAAACAAAGGGAAAGCACATGGAATATACAGGGGGACTGTTATTTACTTATCTACTTTGATTTTAATTTTATTTTTTCCATCACCGTTTATCCCCTCTATGCTCTCCAAGGGGATTATGTTTAGACATAATTGATATTATTTATTTATGTTTTATGTATTTCTAAATATCATTTTATTTTATTTCTTTTAAAACACTTATCTTTTTTTTTTAATATGTTTTATTGATTTTGTACAGAGAGGAAGGGAGAGAGATAGAGAGTTAGAAACATCGATGAGAGAGAGTCATCGATCAGCTGCCTCTTGCACACCCCCTACTGGGGATATGCCCGCAACCAAGGTACATGCCCTTGACCGGATTCGAACTCGGGACCCTTCAGTCCCCAAGCCAACGCTCTATCCATTGAGCCAAACCGGTCCCGGCTCTAAATATCATTTTAATTGAAGTTTTATGTTGAATACTTTAATCAAAACTTGTCTAAAGCTGGAGAGGGAAAGTAGCTTGATAAATTATTATATTGATTAATGCTTAACCTTAATTAAACTGACCTGACTCTAATATGATCTGAAAGTATTAGGTCAATGTTAGTATAATTATCTAATTCTGAATGTTCATATACATATGCTTGGCTCTAGTAACCCTTGAATATAGTTTATCAAGGAGTTTTGAGAACAAAAAAATGAAACAGTGGAAATGTTCAATTGTCAAGGAACCCAGTAGGAGAGGGAAGAAGAATTTACAGTCTTAAACCTCTACACATTATGTCAGACATTATGTCAGGCATTTTTCACGGGTTTCTTACTTAATGTTTCCAACAATCTCATGAGTAATATTTTATTATCCTATTTTACAGATTTTAAAAAATGTGATTTAAAAGGGGAAAGGGAAAGTGACATGTAGATGAAACACCTTTTCTCTGTGATAAAAACCCAAACGTATGAGGATAAATTAAAGGAAGCTATTGTGAAGCCAGGAAGGTGGGTGAAAACATGTCAGATGAGTTTTGGCATGAACAAGTGCAAGATGACATTTATTTAAAATATATTTAGAGAATAATGGTAAGTCATATTCATTATTCCTTTCGGATAGTAATCCTCAAACTGTTACAGCCAACAAATTAATAAAAGACTGGGCATCACCAGAAATTAAATGGAAAAGTAAATTGCACACCCTATCGCCCCCTTCAACAAATTATATATCCACAAGTAAAACATTCTGTTCTATTCTTCATACTTCATCTCTAGAAATAAATAGTAGAATTGAGGAAGGGTCAGATGAATTTGCCTGGCTTGTTTGAAGGAAAGTGTCACTTGAAGATTTTTAGACTGAAAATATAGATTATTTCCATCCTCAGGTCACTTTTTGTGAAGTTCTGGTCTAGATTCTGGAGTAACTAACTCTAGACTCTGAGGTAACTCATGTCATGGATGAACATGCTCATTCATCTCACATCCGGTCATTCATGTAACAAACATCAGACATTGTACAGATGGTAGAAATCAAAGATAACAAAGGTATTTTTAGATACCTCCTGTCTAGACATCCCTGGAATATAAACACAGACCTGTGCCAGACTCCACTAGTCCCTTTGGGCTTGGAAAAGCAGTTCCTTATTGTTGCACTGGTTTTTCTCAACCTTCACCCTCACTCAAAGCTGGTCTTACATTATCCTCCTATCCCTTAGAGAGGAAGGCTGGTTATGAAAGTTGCATTATCCCAATTTTTCACAACAGTAGGCTTGGGATTTATTGGGGAAAATGTGTGATCTTTGTTGAACCCTAGGGCCAAAGTCCCTGTGTCAACTTCAAAACCTTGCAGAAATAAAAGTGACAAAACCTATCACTGTTCTAGCCTTTGTTTCTTTTGTTCAGTTGTTTCTCGGTGTTTTTTGTTTGTTTGTTTGTTTTTGTTAATCCTCACCTGAGGACATTTTCCCCATTGATTTTTAGAGAGCCGTGGAAGGGAAGGAGGGAGAGGGAGAGAAAGAGAGAGAAACATCCTTGTGAGAGAGACACATTAGTTGGTTGCCTGCCACACACACCCAACTAGGGATCAAACCTGCAACCCAGGTACATACCCTTGACGAGGAATCCAACCTGCGACCCTTCAGTGCACAGGCCCAACAATCTATCCACTGGGTCACACGGCCAGGGCCTAGCCCCCTTTTTAAAAAAAATATATATTTTTTTTATCGATTTCAGAGAGGAAGGGAGAGGGAGAGAGGGATAGAAACATCAATGATGAGAGAGAATCATTGATTGGCTGCCTCCTGCATGCCCCCTACTGGGGATTGAGCCCACAACCTGGGCACGTGCCCTTGACCAGAAACGAACCCAGATGCTTCAGTCCACAGGCTGACGCTCTCCCCACTGAGCCAAACCAGATAGGGCACTTGTTATTTATGTAGAGTAAAAAAAAAATCAGGCCTTAATGCAGAGAAGACAGCACATGAAGACAATAAATCTACAGTGCAACTTCTAAAATATTTGATAAAATATAGTCAATTTAATAAACATGAACTCAATGTTAACAAGCTCCTCATAGGAAATAAATGCATTTTTCAAAAAGTTTTAATTTATTGATTTTTAGAGAGAGACATAGATTTTGTTGTTCCACTTATTTATGCATTCATCAAAAACCTGTTACTTTGGCACATTGGGATGATGCCCTAACTACTTGAGCTACCCCCCTGGGCTATGGATATTTAAATAAGAAGTTAATCTAGTGACTACAAATGAAGTCGTGATCAGAGCTAGCCTCGTGGTGGCAGAAATCCCCGAGAGTTGGGCCCCTTCTTCCCAAGATTAGCCCTGCCTTGGGCACAGAATAAAGACCATGCATTTGCTGACTCTGGTTTAGAATAGAAACTCACTGAGCCAGAGTCCTTGGTATGGCATTTTCTTATCACTATAGTTATAATCCATTTTCTGGCCTGGAGTAGCTCTCATATATCTGTTTCTATTAGGTACTCGAGCTTTTGCTAAAGACAGGGGGTTTGTCACAAATTAGTTTCTCTGGGAAGCAGACTATGAGATGGAAATTAGCATGCAGAAAGTTTATTATGTATTATAGTCTCTTGAAATCAACACCCATGGGGGAAGGGAAGAAGTACAAATTGGGCAGAAGGAGAATTTGGCTGCAATGCAACCACAACATCTCAGTTGTAATCCACGGGAAGCTGTGAAGTTAGAATGACCCTTCAAAGTTGTTGCCAGTTGAAGTAGGAGGCCTAATGCCTAATTATGTTGAGCATATCTTGATGTGCCTATTGGCCATTTGTAGATTTTCTTTGGAGATATTTTTATTCAGATCCTTTCTCCATTTTAATTACGTTATCTGTCTTTTTGAGTTATGAGTCCTTTATATGTTCAGGATAAAAGTCCTTATTAGATATATGATCTGAAAATATTTTCTCCCATTCTACAGGTTGTCTTTTCACTTTCTTGATAGTGTCCTTTGAAGTAAATTTTTTTTTTCATTTCAATGTTATCCCATTTATCTATTTTTTTCTTTGCTTGTGCTATTGGTGTCATATCTAAGAAACCATTGTCTAATCCACTGGTTTTCAACCTTTTTAATGCTGCAACCCTTTAATACAGTTCCTCATGTTGTGGTGACCCCCCTCCCAACCATAAAATTATTTTCATTGCTACTTCATTACTGTAATTTTGCTACTGTTATGAATCATAATGTAAATACCTGTGTTTTCTGATGGTCTTAGGCCTCTAATCCAAGGTCATAACATATGTTTTCTCCTAAGAGTTTTATAGTTTTAGCTCTTATGTTTAAATTTTGAATTAATTTTTGGGTTGTTTTTTTTTTAATGCAAATATGATGGACAACAGCCTCTGCACTATAACACTTGACCAAAACCCAGTGGTATCTTATGAAGGCTCTTTATCAGAACCCCTGACAAAAAGGCAAAAAAGGTCAGCACACAATACTGCAGCTGTTAGCAAGTTGCCACATTCCATTCAATATCCTGAATATAGTCTGCAGATGTCTGTGGTAGTCTGCATGCATCAAAGCACTCTCCAGTACAAAAGGATCTACTCGCTAGGTCAAAGACAGCTCTTTGAGGTTCAAGGAATGGCAGTGCACACTCCCCAATGTTTGCATAGGCAGGTAGCTGCAAGCTTGTTCATAGGGCTCCAGATCTGTAAATCAGCAGAGGTAAACTGGGAAAAGAAATGGAGAAACTTAAAAAAAAAAAAAATTTGGAGCCGAAATAGGTTTGGCTCAGTGGTAGAGCATCAGTCTGTGGACTGAAAGGTCCCGGGTTTGATTCCGGTCAAGGGCATGTACATTGGCAGCTGGTCGATGTTTCTCTCACATCGACATTTCTATCGATAGTTCTCTATCCCTCTCCCTTCCTCTCTGTAAAATATCAATAAAATATATTTTAAACAAAAAATTAGATAAGATTTCAGATTACGCTGATCAAATCTATTAGATATAACCTTCCTTAACAAATGTTTTCAAAGCAGAAGAGTAGAAGAGAAGCATTTTAAGAGCTAAATTGATGTATCTGCAGGAAGAAGTGTTCTGGCCAAACCTCAGCTGAAGAAACTACTGATTTTGTGGTTGGCTGGTGGTGTCTAAGAGTTTTTTAGGCTGAACTAAAGGGTGAAGTTTAAAGCCAACTGAATATCTTAAAGATCTCTGACATAGTTGTGAATCATCTGGAGAAATAAAAGCTGAAGAAATAGTTTGTAAAGCTTAATAAATAAAATCAGCCCAGCTGATGAGGCTCAGTGGTTGAGTGTCCACCTATGAACCAGGAGGTCATGGTTTGATTCATGGGTTGTAGGCTTGATCCCCTGTGCACCATGCAGGAGGCAGCCAATCAATGATTCTCTCTCATCATTGATATTTATATCTCTCTCTCCCTCCCCCTCTCTAAAATCAATAAAGATACATTTTTAAAAATAAAATCAGTCTAAATTGGTTGAATTTAAGTTGCTCTGCAACTGTAGTCTGCCTACTTTCATATTGCTTGTACCCTAAAATTTTCTTATAGCAGAGCAAAATAATTTTACTGTCCAGTCAACCAACCAAACATGCTGTGCTAAGAAGTGATACCTGAAAAGGTTTAGGCCTTAGGTAAAATACAGGAAATTTTCCACATCTCCTTAGTGAAAAATGCACATGTATGAGCAACAACATTCATTTATTTATTTACTCATTCAACAAAGACTTGTGAGAGGATATTCTTCTAGGCACTTGGGAAATCACAATGAATAAAAAAGTCTTTACAGAGTTTATAATCTACTGTGGACGACAAATAAAAATATGTTTTCAAGTGGTGATGAGTGCTATGAAGCAAAAAAAGGAGCAGCGTGATTGAGAGCTTCTGTTCATATAGGGCAGTCAGAGAAGGTGACAACCAATATAAGGTAGGTATATTATATTATTTCCAACTTACAGTAGATGAAACTGAACCTTAGAGTGACCAGTTGTTCCAGTTATCCATTGCTATGTAATAAAACATCTCAAACTTACTGGCCTAAAACAACTTATTTGCTTATAATTCTACAAATTGGCCAGGGCTTGATAGGAACAGTGCATCAGCTCCACGTGGCATCAGCGGGGGTGGCTGGACTGGAGCTGGAGGATGCACTTCGAAGGTGCTTTAAGTAAGGTGGTTGGCAAGTTGGCACTGACTGTCAGGGGAAGCTCAGCTGGGACTTGGCAGAGGCTTCCACATGACCTGTCCAAATAACAAGCCTGGGCTTTTCTCAGCATGGTGGTCTCATAGCACTTAGACTTCTTAAACACCCACTGGTTCTCACAGAGCACAACTGTGGGAGCTGCCAGACCTTTATAATATTATACCTGGCTTCAGAAGCCAAACAATGTTGCTTTTGCTACAATCTATTAGCTAAAGGTCACAAAGCCAGCTCAGATTCAAATGGAGGAACTGTACTGGGGCATGTATACAGGATGCATGGTTCTCTGGGAACCAATAATGTAATTGACTACCACAGTCTGCCCTTTGGCCTCTAATGATTTATGTTCCTCCTACATGCAAAATTACACTTAAATATCTGATTATATTTTTACATTGGCGCAAAATCTAGGCCCTACCGAGAATTTTACCACATGGTACTACTACCTGCCCATATGCTTAGGTGAGAATTACTCATTCTCCTTAATTTTCCCCACTTTTGCCTCCCATTTCAATTCAGCAACCTATAGTGTAGACTTTACTTTGTAAACATCTCCCTAATCCCTAACCCTAACCCTAACCCTATCCCTAACCCTAACCCTAACCCTAATTAGTTTACTTCCTTCCCCTTTTCCACCTCAAGTCTAAAGTGCCATAATGTTTAACTGGGCTAATGTAAAAACTGCCAAATGGTCCCCATCATTCCCTCTTGCTCTTCCTCCAGTTCAGAGTTTCTCAGCTCGGAATGATTTTGCCTCTTGGGACATTGGATGATGTCCGGAGACTTTAGCTGTCTCAACATGGAGGGTGTACACTACATCTAATGTGAAGATGTCAGAAAGGCTGATAAACATCCTACAATGTTCAGGACAATCTCCCAAAACAAAGTATTATTCACTGCAAAAATGTCAATAGTGCTGAGGTTGAGAGACCCTGTCATCTTTTCTCTACCAAGTAAGAAGTGAGCTCTTTTTTAAATACAATCATGTCAATACCCTGTTTAAAATCCATCAACATCTTCCAGCGATTATTAGGTTAAGAATGTGAACTTTTGTATGGCCCACAGGGTCCTCTGTAGTGTAACCCCTAACTCTTCACTGCTTTCTGTGCTCCAGCCACACAGGTCTTTCTTAAGTTGTGTACATATTTCCCCTCATGATTGGACCTTACTTACCCTTTGTCAGTAATGCTCTCCCTCCTAACAACCCCACCTCACCCTAACTCTGACCTAACAGAGGAAACAGGATGGGGTTGGTGAGGAGCTGGAAGCTGGGCAAGATCTAGGTC